CGAAAACCCACTAAATCCTGCAGCATTACCGCTTGCTCTCCATGACCCCATGGACCATCTGTGTGGCTTTCTTTCCGTTCTCAACTCGAAGGTCCGCCCGCTGGTGTACAGCTCCGTTGATTTTAGACTTGAGGTAGCCTAGCACCTCCCCATTGACCTCAATAGATCCGCTATTTCAATTGCATTTCTTCACCCGCTTTTTGGAACAATCGGAAATTCAGTTGTACATCGAAGCTTGTAATACGTCTGTTGGACCCTGAAAGCTAGCCAATATATCCCGTTCGCTATATTAACTTCAATTCGGAACTAGATCACCGGACCCACACATTATTTTGCTATTACGAACCAATAAACACCCCGTAACACGGAGTTTGTTTATATGGTCAATATCCTACTCGATTATTGTTTCTCTCTTTTTCTCAGTGTGTACAAGCAGGTGAGAATAACCTAGTTGGATTCACTCGTTGCATAAGAATACACAACGATGTCCTGGTAACTGCCTAATTATCTTGAGATGAATAACCAAATGGGATGGGCGTATGGAAAGAAAGTGTAAGGAGAGGGTTAGGAAGATGAAAGCCGATCGGATTCACTTCAGATACCATTATTGTCATTTCTGTGGTGAAATATGCGGATCCATTGTCCTGGTAGAAATATTCTAAACTGCAAACTGTATCCAGGATCCCCCTAGAGATTTAGGGGGGGGGGAGAGATTGTACTGACCTTTGCATTTTATGGTATATGGTGGTTGATATTATCTGAAAATGACTCTAAGGAGAGAACGGGAACCTCACGTCTATTAACTTTCAACGGGCTGGATAAAGTGAGTAGTCATTACCATCGCTTATTGATGTCTGAACCTCGCACCAATCAATTTTTCATCCGCGATTCTGTCGTTCATAGCAGTCAAATAGATGTTTCACTGTTCGACCAGGATAACTCCATAGAATGAGGTGAATCGGGTAGAGAGAAATGTAATCGTATTCGCCGGTTTTATATGGTTCTCAACAAGGGGAATACTGTTTGGTTCTTTCTCATTGGTATAACATTCCCATTTTATACTAGGTTAAACAGTATTCACTCTGCAAGCATCAGCGTTGTTCACACACTAGTTAAAGCCAGTCTTGTTGACCACTTTCGAACACAACCGCTTTGTTTGTTGTGACCGATGCGAAATAAAATCGGTCGTTACGTTGATTAAAAAACCATTCCCGGTCGACAGTAACT